TTGGAAACCTCAAGTATTCCTTCAATGCTTCTCGGATTCCTTGGAAAGAGGTCAAGGAAGATGACTCTAAGAAGCACCAATGTGACCTAGGCTTGCTCTAGCTAAGTCCGGAAGAAGGAGAGATATCCTAGCTCTACAAAGAGAGGAGCTCAAGTAGGGTAGAGATAGGATAAGGTGACTTTCGGAGGGGGAGAATTCTAAGAAGAGAAATCTCATGTATATCATCCAAAAGTGTTTACAAGTTTCGGCCATATGGATTTTATAGAGAAAATTAGGTCAAAGTGAACCATGGGTTAGCCTAAGGTTAAGTGTAACCATGGTATGGTTCACTTAACCTTAGGCGCCCAAAATTTGAATTCAAAATTCAAATTTTGGAGCCTAAACCCGGATCACACCATGTGCACTTCATTTGGAATGTCATTAGGCTTCCATTTGAGTTGCATTTCGGTCACACCATGTGCATGTGTTGCACATGGCCGAAATGCATACCAAATGTGAAACTAATTACATTCTAATGTAAATACACATGCAACCTAAATAACCCTAAATTCAAATGACCCTCAAATGAAATCTTATTCTAAATGGCCGGAAATACAAGGCCTAAAAGAAATACAAGGCACTAAGGCCCAACCCTACACTACTCCTAATCTACTTGGGCTTGAGTCAAAGCCCAACTAAACAATGTGATGGGCTTTCCTTGAGCTTGGGCCCACTCCTCTTGTATCCTCCTTGCCATAGCCCTAGTAGTTGGGCCCTTGGCCCATGGGCCTCCTCCATCAAGTTTTATTGTGCCAGTACAAGTATTATATTGACAGAATTAGATTTTGTGGTCTTCATAAAAGTTGTAGCCTTGGAAGTTATCTTTCTAATGGAACTGGAATCAGGTAAAATGGAGATCTAGAACTCCAGTTATAGCTGCTTTGGTGATCAGAAGTCTAGTTGTAAGCGCTGAATATATTTGTTGTGGTTTTTGAATTTTTAGCTAAGAAGATGATCTTTTTAGAATCTTATGTCTTCATAAGAGTTATAGCTTATTATCTTAGCGTTTTCTTGAGATAGGTTTGAGATCATTTAGATGAGTATAACTCTCTGTGTGTCATTTCCTTTAACAGTTGTTGAAGGGAGGTGTATGCTGTCATGATGTTTTTGAGTTGTTAGGCATAACAAGGATAAAAACTATTTTGGTTATGGTGTTCTAAGGCGTTGTCATATGGATTGAAAGGTTGTTTAAGGTTGTATGATGCTATGTGGTAAAGTTGGTTCATATATGTACATGCTATATGGAGTAAATGGTGATTGATTCATACATGCTTAGGGATGGTATATATGAGTATTTAAAGTAGGTATTCTAATATGATTTGATATGCATGTACGTTGACATGAGGATAGATGACCTTATATATCAATTAGTGGGTGTTTGTGTGTTTAGTAAGATTGACCTTAGGGAGTGATATCATCATATTGAAGTTGATAGTGAAGATATATCCAAGGCAGTTTTATGCTAGTTATCTAAGTGTGATTTTTTTATTGTATGAGGTGAGTTTTCTAGGCCCTATAATTTCTAGCGGAGGTATAACGTAGATCTATCTATGGTAGAAGTGGTGCTTAAGTGGGAGATACCTAAGTCAATTAGTGAGGTTAGGAGTTTTTTGGGATAGTTTATAGGAGATTTATTGAGGAAATTTTTAAGATAGCATTACCCTTGACTAGGTCGACTAGGAAGAATGTTGTCTTTGTGTGGGATAGTAATTGTGAAAGTAGTTTCCAAACTCTTAAGGAAAGATTGGCTAGTGTTAATATTACCGGATTCTAGTAAGTCTTATGTGGTATATAGTGATGCTTCAAAGACGGGTTTGGGTGGATTGTTGATGCAAGAAGGAAAGGTAGTAGCTTATGTTTCTAGGCAATTGAAAATCCATGAAAGGGATTACCTTACCCATGACCTTAAGTTAGCGGTTGTAATATTTACACTAAGATTTGGAGACACTACCTATATGATTCTAAGCTTGAGGTATTTAGTGATCATAAGAGCATTAAATATCTTTTGACCAAAGGAGTTGAATATGAGACAAAAGCGATAGTTGGAATTTCTTAAGGAATAAGATTTTGATCTTATTTGTTATTTGGCCAAAGCCATTGTAGTGACCGATGTTTTGAGTAGGAAACCTTTATATTTATCTTCCCTTATGATTAGAGAGATGAATATTTGGGCTCAAATTAGGGATTTAAGTTTGATTGGTGAGATTACTCCTAGTAGTGTGAAATTAGGTATGACTCGAGTAACAAATGGATCGTGGAAATAAATTGTAGAAGCATAATTAGTTGATTCATTTTGGTGACAAGATATGAGGCTATAGGACAAGTTAATGGATAAAAGTATGCCTTAGGTATAGATGGAGTAGTAAGACTTTGAGACTGAGTATGTGTACCTAGTGAACTTATGCTCAAGTGTTTGATCTTTTGAGAGGATCATAGAAGTAAAGCTAATATTGTGACAGATGCCTTGAGTAGGATGATCATTCATCTATCGTTTTTATGATTTAAAGGTTGGATTTGATTGAAGAGTTTAGAGACTTAAGCTTGGTGTGTAAGATTACCCTTAGGAGCATTGAATTGATTATGTTGAAAGTGACTAGTGAATTAATGGATGAGATTAGAGAAGCCCAAGAGTAAGATCCTTTCTTAGTGAACCAAGTGGAGAAGATTGGTAGGAGTATAGATAACCTTTTTTGAGTAGGAATCGACGTTGTTTTGAGGTGCAAGAACAAAATTTGGGTTATAGTGGATAGACTCACCAAGTTTGCTTGTCTTACCCTTATTGATGATAGATATTCCTTAGAGAGATTGATAGAATTGTACATCAGTGAGGTGAGGTTAGATGTGATTTTCTACTAGTATAGTTTTTACATCAGAGTGGCGCAGCGGAAGCGTGATGAGAAATATTTAGGAAAGTGTTATTTGGTAGTAGAGAGCAAGATCCATGAAGTTCATCTATTCAAGTGTTCGGTAAATTTCGAGGACGAAATTTCTAAAAGGGGGGAGAATTGTAACACCCCATTTTTCATACTTTTTATGGAGGGTAATTTAGTAATTTTTATAAGATTTATTGAGGGTAATTTAGTAGCTCAGAACGGGCCGTTCTCAAATTGGAACAGGTTGTTCCAAACTACTAAAAAGACTTATTTTTGGTTGCTCAGAATGGGCCGTTCCCAAACAGAACATTCATCACTCCTCCTTACCATTTCCATCATATAGGTGATCATGACCACAACCATAATAAGGGACGAAAACATTTAAAACACATTTAAACAACCAAAATGGATGTGAGAGAAAAGTTGAAAAATAAGCTCAACCACTAATTAATCACATTTAGAATGTATAAATAGAATGATGGATGAATTAGATTGATGGTAGCTAAGCATGGAGTGTATAAACAAAATGGTGCATGAACTAGATTGATGGTGTCATGGTCTTGGTCAGCATAGGCATAGGTGAGGATTTTGGTGGGTCCATGTGTTGTCTAGCATGCGTTGTACATTGTTCCGCATGCTTTGTCTTATTGGTCACAAATTGAAATTGCCCCCTCCTACTTACATTCATAGGTTTTTCTTTTTCTTTTTTTGTTTCCCTTTTTGTTCTCTCTTGCACCCTATTCTTACAAAACTTTGAAGTCGTGCTATCTATCAAACACATACATGGATTTCAAATTTATGTTTTTTCTTTTCTTTTTACAAAGACGATAACGAAACATTTGAAATCTTAAACAAATTAAGCACTAGCAAGTTAAATTTTAAGTTTCTTCTTCAACACAGCTACAACCTACCCAATAACATTATACTACAGAAATTTGGTTGCTTTCTTAATATATGCCTGTGTGGCCAATTTCG